TGGGTTATTTTATATGTTCTTCACAGAAAATGAGCAAAGGACAAGAATCTGAGGTTGATATAGTAATAAATCGCATGATTTTTTCTTTTGGTAAACATTAAAAATGGGTCCTACAGACCCCAACGCCACACAAGGGTTAAGTGGTTCTTCTCTGGTTAAATGCTATGACAGAGAACCTTTTGCATTTGGCTCTTTAGAGAACCTTTTAAGAAATGGTTCTACGCAACACCAAAAAGGGCTCCACTGTTGTTAAAAGTCAAAGAACCTTCTAGTACTATATAGAACGCTATTTGCTAAGCATGTACAGAAGGCGCTGGAATTACCTACTGCTGGGCCATAAATCATCTATACCGGTACGTTGCACATATATATGATATTTAAAATGTAATATTTAATGGCCATAAAATAGTGATGTTCATTTTGCCAAGCAGTTAATTTTTAGCTTTTTAATTCTATTTTTGCACTTTATAATTCTATTTTGTGCACTTTACTCTTGGTAATCAGAACAGTTAGCTGAAGCGTGTGTACCCACAGAGCATAATAATGTTGACATTATTGATTTTTCATCAGAATCATAATTGTGATCGACACTGCCGTTTCAAGGACAACGTTGTGCTGGATCATCGCTAAACTATGAATGAAAGTTGCCAGCTCTTAATGTTGACCACAAGCGACATAAGCAGCTGTTTATGGCCCGCAGCCACCAGGGGGCCCCCTAACAACTTCTGTTAGTCACAACTTCTTGAGTGAGGGGAAAAAGCGCTGTTAATCATGTCTCAAAAAGACATGAAAAAAAATAACAGAAGAAAAAAGAGAAGATGAGGAGAAAAAGCCTAAAGATGATGGCATGTTTGTTGTGGTGTTAATGTTATGCTATTTGTTTTGGCAACAAGAAGTAGTGGACCTGGGCTCTGTCTGACCCTGGGGTGCGCAATGTGGAGCTCTTTTACTGCCCTGTTGCGGCTCCACAGCAGAACTAGATTTTAGGTAAAAAATAATAATAAATCCTCCTTTGCAAGAAAATGAAGCGGCCTTGCACATTGGAGTTAATGTAGAACTGCTAATTGACCCTTTAACCCTGAAGATCAGCGCACAGACTGCAGGTCACCATAGAAATCTTACTTAGCTAGTAGCTAACAAAAAGAGAATGATTTGAGATGAATATCGATAATTTGGAGATGAATGGACTTATTTGCATTTATAATCACTCCAGCTGGTTTCCTGATACGTTTAATCTTCAATGAGTGTCTATCAAATACCAAAAAGTCACAAAGCTGAAGTCACCTTAAATGGTGCCTGAGACGCCAGAATGTAACTGCTACACCACTTAAGGTTTTGAACAAGAAGCTGGAGAATGAGAAGCTGATTTCAGACTCGTAAAAAGTCGAACATTGATAGACATTTTACAAGACACTATTCGCCTATTTAAGAAAAGTTTCCTGCAGGAGATGCAAAAAAAGCGGCTATAGCTCAGCTAAAGCTTAAAGCAGAGCAAAGTAAGTCCGAATTTTCATTTGTGTTATATTTTTAGCCCATACTAGCACATCAGCACATACTCAGACGTACCTGACTGACTATATAAGGTCGAACCATTGTTCCTTTGCAAGCAAAGTCTGCCTTGGAGAAGAGTTCGAAAGCAAGTTGGAAGAGTTTGAGAGGGGTCACATCGTAGGGCTCTGGGAAGCGGGATGGTCTTATCGACGTATTGTGCACCATATTGGTCGTTCAGATAGTACTATAGCATGCTGTTGGTGGCAGTGGATAGAAGAAGGCATGCACCAACGACATGAAGAATCTGGGAGACCTGCACAAACCACGGAGAGGAGAACCGACAGATTGTTCGACATGAGCAGAGTGGCCCAACAGCCATGATTGCGGACATTCAGCGAGCGCCAGGATGAGCGGTTTGTTGTCATGTGTCACACGTCCAGAAGGCCTGGTGTCATGGTGTGGGGTGCAATTTCGTACGATGCCAGATCACCTTTGGTCTTCAATACATTCACTTTGACAGCACAACGTTATGATAATGAGGTCCTGCAGCCAGTGGCCCCGCCTTTCCTGAACACACACTCCAGTGAGCTACTCCAACAGGACAACGCTCGTCCACATACTGCTGCCGTCTCAAGAGCTCGGCTTGAAGACATCATCAGACCTATCCCTGATTGAAAATGTGTGGGATGCTATTGGACACGCTATTAACACTCCACCCCTACCACAAAATCTGCAGGGGAAGGAAAAGCTACATGGGATGGATTATCACAGGACACCATTAGAAAACTCTACAACGCCATGCTGAGACATCTGGCATGTTGGTTAGCAAACAAGGCAGCCCAATGCCATACTGAGAGAGAGCGTGTTTTTTTCTCCTCACTCAGTAATGCTGTTTCTTTAAGTTTAACCCTCCAAGAATGCACCTGCATGTCAAATTCAATGTTTCTATGTATGTTTCTCTCTCTTTTTCTGACAATCCAGTGCAGAAATACAGTTCAAACGTTTCCTGAGTCACTCTTTCCATTCCATCTTATCACAAGATCATACGTGACTTACATCTGGAGTTATGAGCCTGTGAAGAGGGGCTGAGATACATGTCATCTGACTCTCACCATGTGAAACTGCTGGATTTGTGTTTTCATCTACATTCTGTGGGAAACTGACAAATGGACACTGAGGAAATCACTAAGGACTGACCATCATGCTGGAAACCCTTCATTCTTTATATAGTCCACATCGGAGACACGTGTGAAATGGCGTGCAGAGAGTTCTGCAGCCCAACGCCATACTGAGAGTCACTACTTCTTTATGTATAGCTCAGTAAATGCTGCCCACATCAGTCTAAATTTTTAATCATTTAATTTTCTGGTAACCTTTATCTTCCTTCCGAATAGCTTTGCAATCTGACACTTCCTTCTGGGTCAGACTATTTTTGACAATGAGTGTGTATTAAAGTGAAATAAATAGTAGTATTTAAAACTATGTTTTCTTTTAAAATTAAACCTTAGGATCCCTTAGGTGTAATTTTAAGAGAAGAAAACAGAAGAAATCATAACATGCTACGTCAGGAGAAGTTCTTTATTAGAGTAGCAGCATTCAGGAAGAATGGGTTTATTAAAGCTGCACTATGGAAATTATGGAGATTTGGAGACCTCTCTGGTGGAAATGTGTAATTGCACACAATGTGCGGAAGAACATTTTGTAACGTGGACTGTGCTTCGGACCCCTTCCCCAAGCAGATGAATCCGATGTTTGCAAGTGCTCTGAAAGAAAATTCAAAGAGAATTCAGTCAAAATAGAACATGAAGGATGTGTCTTCTGAGGATTCGAGTGGTTTATCTACTACAGTCATCATATCTTCATCAGTATAATGTTGACATTGCATTTGAGACCTAAACATCGAGCTGGACCTTTTTTTTGAGCCTGTGTGTCCAATGGTGAAGACATATGACGTTATTCAAAAAACAGGAAGAATGGCCTTATTAAAGATGCACTCTGTAAGTTTTGGAGATTTGGAGACCTCTCTGGTGGGAATATGTAATTGCACACAATGTGCAGAAGAACATGTTGTAATGTGGACTGTGTGGTCATAATGTCTTCATCAGTATAATATTGACATTGCATTTGAACCCTAAACATACTGCATTGACATTGCATTTGAACCCAGAACCTACTTGGTTCTTTTTGAGCCTGTGTGTGAGATGATAAAGACGTATGATGTGGTCTGAAAAACTGGCCACCCAATGCCTCAGACTTTTAAATTATTATCTCAGGATTGACAGAGGTTTTTTTTTTTCAACCTCACTCAGTACTGCTATTTCTTTAAGTTCAACCCTCTAAGGTCCACAAATGCACCCACACGTCAAATTTAATGTTTCTATATCTGTTTCTGTATCTTTGTGATGATCCAGCACAGAAATCCAGTTCAAACATTTCCTGAGTCTGTAGAGTCGCCCTTTCCATTCCATCTCATCAGGAGATCATATGTGGCTCACATCCAGAGTTATGAGCCTGTGAAGAGGGGCTGAGATACATGTCATCTGACTCTCACCGTGTGGAACTGGTGGATTTGTGTTTTCATCTACATTCTGTGTGAAACTGACCAATGGATACTCAGGAAATCACTAAGAACTGACCATCACGCCGGAAACCTTTCGTTCTTCATCTAGTCCACTTCGGAGACACATGTGAAATGGCGAGCAGAGAGTTTACAGCCGCTGAAGCTGCTGCAGCGGTTTTGGAAAGTAGTGATGAAGATAACGGAGCACTTTGATATGAAACAAATGAGGATCACATTATATGAAGAGCCTTTAAATGAGAATTTTAAGAAGATGTGAATAAAATTCCCTCAGAGAGTTAGCGAAAAAAAAACCTTCTACACTCTAGAAAAGATGGTTCTTCAAGGGTTCTTCAGTAACAGGAATGTTTTGATTTAGAACCATGGGTTCTGTATAGAACCAGTTAATGTTTAAATGCAAGTTCATGGTGAAATGGTTCTTCAGATTGATGGAGAATGTGTTGCAGATCGTTCTATACAGAAACTTTCTGAATATCGTTCTTTGTAGCACCAAAAGGTTTTTGCTGTTGTACACAAGCTTGACATTGTAACAATAGGAGAACCCTTTTTGATGTTACATAGAACCAAACACAACACATTTTCCATCAGTCTGAAGAAACATTTCACCATGCAACCAACCATTTAAGCATGAAATGGTTCTGTGTAGAACTCATGGTCCTTTTACTAAAGAACTCTTGAAGAACCATCTTTTAAAGAGTGTACAGTGCAGCTTTAAATCAATTGATTAATTCATCTGTTCATTCATTTATTAATTCATTAATTCGTTGATTTATTTAGTCTAACCTAAATATCATATACCGTGATACCGTGATATTTTCGGAAAATATCGTGATACTGAATTGTATCAGTATCGTCCAGCCCTTCCTCACAAAGACAGGAATACCAGCGTTGTGTGTGTGTGCGCGCGCGCGCACGTGGTATATGTGGGGACCCGCGAGCTCTTTCGCTGTGGACGCTTCTCTTGTACCGTGTGGTCGTGTGCTCTGATAGCCTCGCCGCTTCTTCCGCTCCGTCTGCGGACTTTCACACCGCCGAGCGCCGCAGTGAGGAGCACACAGCGCGCTCTGCTCGGCCCCTCCAGCGCCTCTGCAGACGGCGGTGAGCCCGATCGCCTCAGCAGCGATGTTGCAGTGCGCCTTCTGGCTCTGCTTGTGCGTCCTAATGCGTTCGAGTGGACTTTCGCTCGGAACCGGCTTTATTTACCAGTTTCCAGGACTAACAGTGCAACATGTGAGCTCAGAACAGAGTGCTGGACCCCCAGCTGCTGGCGTTAACATCAACTCTCAGCGCAGGTATGGACTCTTCTTCACATCGTTCTTCTTACCAAAGTTTTCTGGTTTAGGTTGACTTTCAACTGTTTGTTCTTTCCTGAGTACCATTCGTATTGGCTCTGCATTGCGCTACATGCCCAAAAGTACCTAGACGGTCCTTCTAATTACTGAATTCAGCTACTTTAAGACGCACTCTATGCTGACAGAGTCGTTCAAACAGCTTGTATGATCTCCATAGAAAGACCAATAGAATAGGACGCTCTGGAGTAGCCACACATTAGGCTAAGGTCACCGTGCCCAATGCCAAGCGTGGGCTAGAGGGGTGTAAAGCCCCCCAGCAGAGCACCGCGTCCTCTGGAGCGATGGAGCTCCATAGAGTACCTTTGGGATGAGTTGGAGTGATCCAGAACTGACCATCCAACATCAGTACTTGACCTCACTAATGCTCAATCAAATCCTCACAGCAGTGTTCCAACATCTAGTGTTGCCAGAGGCCAGCGAATGGAAGCACAGGGCAGATGTTTCTAATAAAGTGGCCAGTTAAAGGAGGCTCAAGGTAGGTGTTTCTAATAAAGTGGCCAGGTAAAGGAGGTAAAGGTAGGTGTTTCTAATAAAGTAGCCAGTTAATGAAGGTATAAAGTATGTGTTTCTAATATAGTGGCCAGTTATAGGAGGCTCAAGGTAGGTGTTTCTAATAAAGTGACCAGGTAAGGGAGGTAAAGGTAGGTGTTTCTAATAAAGTAGCCAGTTAATGGAGGTATGAAGTAGATGTTTCTAATAAAGTGGCCAGTTTAAGGAGGCTCAGGGTAGGTGTTTCTAATAAAGTGGCCAGGTGAGGGAGGTAAAGGTAGGTGTTTCTAGTAAAGTGGCCAGTTAATGGAGATATAAAGTAGGTGTTTCTAATAAAGTGGGCAGTTAATGGAGGTATGAAGTAGATGTTTCTAATAAAGTGGCCAGTTTAAGGAGGCTCAAGGTAGGTGTTTCTAATAAAGTGGCCAGGTGAGGGAGGTAAAGGTAGGTGTTTCTAGTAAAGTGGCCAGTTAATGAAGGTATAAAGTATGTGTTTCTAATATAGTGGCCAGTTATAGGAGGCTCAAGGTAGGTGTATCTAATAAAGTGACCAGGTAAGGGAGGTAAAGGTAGGTGTTTCTAATAAAGTGACCAGGTAAGGGAGGTAAAGGTAGATGTTTCTAATAAAGTGGCCAGTTAAGCCTTCCCCAAAGAGTAGAGGCGGGGCGGGGGGTGGGGGGCTGGCATAATTCATTGATTGATGTATATATAAAGTAATTCAGAGTGGTTTGGTGTGAAATGGTTGATTGTAGAGACTCAGATTTCTTTACAGTGCTGGTGATAGGAACCAGGGGTCACCATGACTACAACACTAATATAGCCATTTTATTTACCATCCAAAACCACCAGTGAACCTACACGAGTCTTCTGAGTTTATATGGAATGTTGATGATGGTAAAACAGTGATAAATCTGAAAAAGTGTTCTTTGGGGACTATTTTGCCTCACTGCGCCCTGCGTTTATCCCTCCACCATGAATGGAACTTAAAAATACATATCAGGCCCAAAGCTTTTCATAAAAAACTTTCGTTAAACAATGTCTCAGGGATCCAGCAGCACATCTGCAACCATTTCTTATAATAACTTTCTGTGAGGGAGCTTTTAGAGGTGGACGTCTGGTTCCTATCACCACCACTGTGAGCAGTCCTGAGTCTGTAAGTGTCTCTAGAACGAGGCATTTCACACCAAACCACTCTGAATGATTGAGTTATGCAGATGTTTTGAGAAATCAGTGGAATTCTGCTTTAACTGGAGGTTTTTAACATTCGAGATGTGTGTCTGTCTTTCTGTTTGTGATTTTAACATTCAGGATGTGCTGTAGTTCTCCAGGCTTTCTGCAGGTTCTCATGTCTGACTACTATTCAAGAATGTTCACCTTTGTTCCGTAACTCCACTTCTGCTGTGGCTTTTTTGTTAGATATTTTAGCGTTCTACTGTTTTCACAGTGTTTCTATGACCATGATAGTAATAATAACATATTTTCAGAGTGATGGTGTGGTTTTAAAAACGGGATTCCACCAAATGTACTGAAATGTCTGCATAATTCAATCAATATGAGGTGAATAAAGTATTGTGGTGGTGATAGTAACCAGGCGTTTGAAGAGTTTATTGCTTCTAAAAGCTCCCTCATAGAAAATAATAAAATGTAATAGCTATGAATATGCTGCCTTGTGTCTGAGACATAGATTTACAATAGTTTTGAGCCGATTTTGTTCTAAAACATATTTTTTATCCATTCATGGTGGAGGGATACGTGAAGGTGTTCTAAGGCAAAATTGTCCCCAAAAAAAACGTATTGTTTCAGATTTATCACTGTTCTACCATCATCAACATTCCATATAAATTCAGAAGACTCATGTAGGTTCACTGGTGGTTTTGGACAGTAAATAAAATGGCTATAGTTGTGCTGTAATCATGGTGACCCCTGGTTCCCATCACCATCACTGTAAAGAAATCTGAGCCCCTACAATCAACCATTTCACACCAAACCACTCTGAATTACTTTGTTTACATCTCAACCACTAAATTATACAGATTTAATTTTTTATGCAATCTTTAATGCATGCTACCTGCCCCCTCCCAACCTATAGCCTGGTCCTTTTCAATAACCTATCAACCTGATTCACAAGAACGAATGAATCAAACTTTTTAAAGTACCTAACTACTGTTTGCATACATTATATGCTGAGACTGAAGTAGAAAAAACTTCTGACTCCTGTAGTGAGCAGAAGTAGAAGACATCGTGATGAATCAGTCATTTATATGGAGCAGAATAATGTTCATCAATTATGAATCAGTGAATCAGATGTTCATGAATTATGAACTTCCTTTCTCTACACAGAACTTGTCCACATGGTCAACCTGTTTGTTTGCTGCTGTCCATAAAGTTGAGGCCAAACGTTTACATCCACCCAGGATAAAGACTTTCAAACTCAAATTCTTACCGCTCCACACATTTTGTGTGTCCTGTGTTAAGTCAGTTACAGTATATACTTTATTTCCATAAGAGGTCATCTCAAAATAACACCTAACAGACAGATTTATTTCAGGTTTTATATACAATATCAAATTTTTATGTGGGGGCATTGCCTTTTAATTACTTAACTTGAATCAAATGCTTGGAGTTGCCTTCCACAAGGTTTTCACAATAATTTGGCGGAATGTTTACCTGTTCTTCCTGACACATCTGGTATAACTCAGGTTTGTAGGCCTCCGTGCTCGGACACACTTTTTCAGTTTAGTCCACAGATTTTCTAAGGGATTCAGGTCAGGGTTTGTGATGGCCTATCAGGCCATTTTGTCACTGTGGCATGCACCTGTCCCCTGGGCCCCGATGACGGCTGAGGGAGCCTGTAGGAAGGCAGGGCCCGAAAAACGAATGGTGACGAGCCCCGATGAGTGTGGCGGGGAGAGAACCGCGAGTGAGTCATGCGCAAATCATGTCCACCGCCATTCCCTCTTAAAAGAACAGAGAGTGAACAAGAGCTCGTTTTTCCACCTCCTCGTCACCGCCCCCCCACACTGCAGCTCATCCGCCTGGATCGAACATGAGGTGGAGAGAGGCCTCGCTGCAGAACAGGGGGCGGGTCTGGGTGGCGTAGTTCGGGACTCGCTTCCTGCTTTCGTGCCTCTCATTGGCGTCATCGTCGTCGTCCCTTCTCTCACGGCTGATGTTCTCCTACCGCCGTCCCTCGGCAGCAGTCAGGATTTGTGTGCCGTCCCTCACTCACTGGCGCCTCTCTCCCCACTGTCCTCGTTGGGGTTCGACACCACACGGTGTTTGGGCCCCGCCTTCCTGCAGGCTCTCGAGACCATCATCGGGGCCCAGTGGATGGGCGCATGCCACAGTCACATCTTTGGAGGAATGCTTAGGATCATTGGGCCACATTCACCAATATATTCCAAAGTTTTTTCTGAAATTTGTTCTTGAGAAAGGTCCTAAGAAAAAGTCTATGTCAGATTCCTGACGTTCTTAAACTGCAGAACTGTTCTCACCTTTGTGCTCTTGAGTGTGTGTAGATTCTGTTCTGGGAACAAATCCCAGATAAGAAAACACTGGTGGATGTCAGAATCTTTGTGAAAACTGCGTGAGTGGGTTTTAAGAAGAAATGTCTTCGAGAAAACACTTGGTGAATGAGGCCCATTGTCCTGCTGGAAGACCCAGCTGTCACCATGTTGTAACTTTCTGGTTGATATCTTGTGGTGGTTCTTCATTAATTCTAGATAATTCTTATTAAGGCCATTTGTATTCTGAAGTGATGCTGCCACCACCATGCTTTACAGTTAGAATGGTGTTCTTTGGATTAAAAGCCTCACTATTGTTCCTCCGTACATAGCACTGATCGTTATGGCCAAACAGCTCAATTTTTGTTTCATCTGACCAGAGAACTCCTCCAAAAGACTAGATCTGTGTCCTGGTGATCATCTGCAAACTTCAATCTGGCCTTTTTATGCCAAAGTAAAACTCTATGGTCACACTTTATTTGGATGGTCCCTTATAGATGATCTGTAGATACTTAGATCATTAACTAAATTCTGGTGACACCAATTTGATTATCTACAACATTGTGGGTTAGGTTTAGGAGTAGGTGTAGGTTAGGGTTAGAGTTAGGTTTAGTGTTAGGGATAGATTTGATAGAATCTTCCACACTCAACTTTAAGTTCAGTTGCATTTAGTAGATATTTAGTTGAATGTTACCTAAAGATATACTGAACATCTGCAAAGCATCAGTGGACCATCCAAATAAAGTGTTACCAACTCTATTAATGGTGGATGTAAATAGTTTGGTACCTGACACCTCCAACTTCTTCACCAGTTCCTTTGTTGTTGTCTGGGGGTTCAGTGGAACCTTTTGTTTAGCCTTGGGACCAGTTGTTTGTACAGATGCTTGCGGTACCTTCAGTTGTTTCGAAATTGCTCCTAAGTAGGAACAGGACTTGTGGAGGTCTGCGATTTTTTTTTTTCTTGAGGTTTTGGCTGAGTTGGATTTTACTGTGGTTTCAAGGGCAAGAAGGCCCTGGTTCTAAAGGTAAGCCCTTACATATGGCCAAAGATGCACTCCAGATGAATTCCTAATTATGAGAGATGGCTAATCAGAAGCTTTTAAAAGTCGATACGTGCATTTCTGGAATCTTCCCGAATGTTTAAGAAGATCACCTTTGTATATAAATGCTTGACCCACTGGAAATCTGACGTGATGAATTGAAGTTGAAGTAATTTATTGTCTAATCAGTTGATCTAAAGTTACTGATGTGAACAAAGCAGATGCACTAATTGACTGATAGACGAAATGTATGGCAACATGAAATGTGTGGGGTCATTTGGCCTCAAACGTATAATAGCGCCCTCTAATGATTTCTTGTGTTCTCCTTCAGAAACTGGTGTCAGTACACGGTATCGAAGACGGTCACGTGCCAGGTGCACAACGGCACAGAGACGACGGTGCAGAGGGTGTTTCAAGGCTGTCGGTGGCCGGGACCCTGCGCAAAACTCATCAGGTAACTTCTGCAGGGCCATTACTGACCTTCAGTGTGTCCTTTTCACTTTCAGACATTGATCGCCAAGTAACACAAGTTAAATTTAGATCCATAAAAGAATTACAATTGTAAATAATATCTTTTTCCCAGCTATTTATTTTGTTTGAGAAGTGAACTGCACCTCGTTCATTTTTTCACACTACAACAATGAATTTGAGGCCAATAAACTCGCCGCATATTTGCTATCAGAAAGCAACGACAGAACTTTGGACAGTTTCAGCGAGATGGACGAGATATCGGCCTGCGAGGAATGATCTATTTGCCATTTATTAGATTATCTAAATTATTTAAATTAGATCAGGTTTGAAAACTAATATTCACCTTCCAGTTTCAAAACTAACAAACCAGCTCACCACAGAAGCCTCCATGTCTTGTTTTTGAAGCCAATACAAGTAAACGCTCTAGACAGGTTACCATGCCTACGTGATTTTTCTCGTCTTAGTTACAGGGCACTGGTCAGACCTGCTTATAAGGTGGCCTACCGGCAGGTGACCGCACTGGAGTGGAGGTGCTGTCCTGGCTTCCTGGGCAGTGACTGCAGTGAAGGTGGGTGAATGTGATCCTGCTCCACAGATAGCAATACAATATCACCTATGATTGTATATGAAAGATCATGTGCTGCACTGAAAGTACCAAAACCATTGAAAATCTGATTTAATATTTGAATATCTAAGGCTTGTTGTGGCTCCCAGTGTGAACATAGTGTTATATTCTGGCCAATAATTGCCAAACCCACAGAAATGTGGATCAGTTACTGGACATCTTATAGGGGACATGGGAAATGGACTTAATTGGAGATCAGTTGCTGCCATGGTTTTATTGTTTGTAGAAGTGTTGGTGGAACTGGCTCTCAGCGTATTTTTTCATAGCACAGTCTGCCATGAGAAAAATGAACTGAGTCATGTAGGCTCAGCAGAATGACTTAGCAATTGTGAGGGCCTGCTTACACAACCCTTAAAGGAACAGTTTGGCATAAAACCATATGGAATTTTTTTTCCGCCTTGCCCCAAATGCATTCAAGACACATTAGGTGCCTGAAGTTTGCTTCTTTAGTGTCATCGCTGGTTCAAAAACATAAATAAATACATTTCAGATTTTTTTTTTGTGTATCACTTAAACACTGCAGCTATCCAGTACACTGTAAAACATTCATGATGAATGTACCAGTAGAAATGCTAAAATCTTTTTACAGTAACTAAAAGTTAAGAATGATTTGGCCTTCTCTTGTTTATATTTTGGATATGGACTTTTAGGTAACATACTTTTGTCCATTTTTATAAATAACAGTGTGTCACACAGTAGCCACGTGTGCGTGCAGCCTGATAATACCTTAATAATCCGATCTTAATAGAATACGTCCATGTATACACCTCAATCGGAATAGGCTAGTCTGATTGAGGCCATTCAGAATACAGTTTCTATCCGACTGAACGAGGTGTGTAATCCTGTAAATAACCCGTTAAATAGAAGAATAATATCCGTGTAAACGCCTGTATCTGATTACGTTCCCAATCGGAAAGTTTAAGTACGTTCTGATCATGTGCGTCACGTCATAGTGAAAGTTTATAACGTTTAACATGGCGGAGCAGAAACTGGTCTGCAGAGGAGACGTTGACGATGAAGTTTATGCTCTGATCTTTAAAAGACGGTGGTGGGACGAACGTCCAGCTTATGTGTCTCAGAACACGACGTCTTCCTCTCGTCCTTCTTTAATAAGGACATGTGAAGGACGTTTTCCTGAGTCTGACATCATTTTAAAGCAAATAAAAACACAAGCGCTGCTCACTGCTGCTCGTCTCACTCTGATTGGACTCACGTGATGGTTGTCATGGTAACTTCTACACTAAGCGGTTCTCTACGCACGCACGTAATTTTGGATATGATTGCTTGTAGCGTTCATGTAAACTGAGATTTTCATCAGATTGTTGAGTAGAGTGAGAATAAACACCTCAGTCTGAATCTATAATTGGAATGTATTCAATAGGATTGGCAAAAATCTTTGCATGTAATCTTTGCACAGCCACTGTCAGATATCACATAAGCAAGTCTTTTTGAGATTACTTAAAGGGGAAGTCCACCAATTGTTTAAAACTTTAGCATTATTTAATCCTTTAAAAGGTTTTCAGAGTGGTTTGGTGAGAAATGCTCCATGCAAGTCAGAATTCACAGTTGTGGTGATAGAAACCGGACATCCACCTCTAAAAGCTCCCTCATGGAAAGTTTTTACATGAAAGGCTATGAATATGCTGAGACATTGTTTTTACCATAACAGTTTGGACTAAAAAAAAAGGTTAAATGCATTCATGGTGTACATGCAGGCCATTGTAAGGCAAAATGGCCCCCAAAGAAAACCACTATTTTACCATCAGCATTACATATAAAAACTCAGACACATGTTGGTTCACCAGTGGTTTTGTATAGTAAATAAAATGCTTATATTTGCATTGTTGAGATAGTGATCACTGGCTTCCTATCACCACCACTGTAAAGACTGAATAAGTTTCTTTATGATGAAACATTCTACATCAAACCACTTTAAATGGCTGTTTACATCTTAATAATTGAATTATGCAGATTTTTTTTAATTGGTGTAATTCCCATTCAGGAATGCAGACTAACTGGTGTTCATTAGCTCCAGTGTAAGACAAAAGATGCAAACTTCAGACACCAAACATATCTTAGCTGATGAACCACGTTAGGTGTAGGTGGGAAATTCTTTAAATCTCTCATCCTTTCTTGGCCAAACATCTTACCTTAGATAACTCTGTCCTGTACCTCTCCCCCCTCCACCCCCACTGACATACCACATGCCAGTAATAAGTGCTCTGCGGTTTCACACTCTTTAATCAGGATTCTTTAGTGTCTCTCTTTTTTCTGTAAAGAGTGAGATCATCCACCACAGGCATGGAATATCCCCCCCACCAAAACACACTGCATAGCTCTTCCATCACCCAATCCACACTCCATACATCTCAACCTCCTTAACCCTGTCCCAAGCCTTCTCTCTCCCCTTCTATCTCTCCTCGTTCGCCCAGTTTCATCTCCAGTTCCTGGCTGTGTCTTTGGGGTTGCTCTCCTGTCACGCCCTTCTACCCCCCCCAGAAAAGAGACAAAAATGTTGAGTGTTTCATATTGCGTCCCCCAGCGCTCGGCCCAGAGGCTGTCATGCTTGAGCCCGGGCCAGCCGTCTGCGGCCACGTCTGGCTGCGCTGCAGAACATCTGGAAGCGCTGTGGGCCTTTTCGGTGCACGACCGAGCGAGCCAGCTAGGGAGAGCGCGCCGCTCACACACACACGCGCTCTCTCTCTCCGTTTCATCCTGGGAACAGCTAGTGCAGGGGAGTATATTAAAGAGCATGAGAATGATAACAAGGGCACTGTGGAGCACATAAAACCCTTCCTTACTCACTTGTTAAAAGGACTGAAGCTGGTGGGAAAGCAGCCGCAGTGGCTGCACACTGTCCCCACAAACTACTGAACATCAGACAAAGAAGAGCTCAGAGAGAGGCTAAATCAGTGATGTTAGAAGGGTGAGGTCTAATTAACGTTTAACAGAAAGTAAAAGTTCACAATTTGCTCTTTCTCCCTAGAGCTGTATGCAACGTTTGGGTTCCCCTGGTCAAATTAAATGTTTTGTTTATTTTTGTTTAAAGTAAAAAATCCAAATGTAAAGGAAATATATTTCCATAAATGTTTTCAGATGTGTGACAAGTTTGTAGTTTAGTCCCATATACGTTTGACATATGTTAATATTAAAATGAACATTTATACATATATTTCATCTACATATGTATTTAAATACTTTACAAAATGGTCCGGTTAAAAATATTTAACACATATATTTTAAAACATCACATTTATTGCACATATATTTTAGTATGAGCAAATATACTAAAATATACATTGATCATGCGTAACATTAAGACCACCTCCTGGTTTCTAAGCTCATCGTCCATTTTATCAGCTCCACTTACTATATAGGTGCACTTTGTAGTTCTACAATTACAGACTGTAGTCCATCTGTTTCTCTGCATACTTTGTTAGCCCCCTTTTACCCTGTTCTTCAGTGGTCAGGACCCCCATGGACCCTCAGAGCAGGTACAATTTGGGTGGTGGATCATTCTCAGCACTGCAGTAACACTGATGTGGTGGTGGTGTGTTAGTGTGTGTTGCACTGGTGTGAGTGGATCAGACACAGCAGTGCTGCTTAGTAATGCATAAGAATGAGATAGTTAAGTAGTGGCCATATTTTGGTAAGGTGTGGGAACAAGGTAGTGAAGTCATGGCCATGACTTAGTACTGTGTTGGAACAAGATAATAAGTCATGTGTTTGAGTCAGTAAGGCATGGGAACAAGATAGTTAAGCTGTGGCCATGAGTCAGTAAGGTGTGGGAACTAGATGGCCACAACTCAGCAATGTGTTGGACCAAAAAAATTAAGTCGTGTTACGAGTCAGTAAGCTTGGCGAATCAGATAGGTAAGTTGTAGCCACAACTCAGTAAGGTGTGGGAACAAGAAAGTTGAGTTGTAAAAATGACTCAGTAAGGTGTTGGAATGAGACAGTTAAGACATGAGAACAAGATAATTCAGTTTAGCTAGTCAAGTTGTGGCCATGACTTAGTAAGATGTGGGAACAACTTATGTATCTTTTTCAATCACCTTTCCTATGTTGTGCCCACAACTTAACTAAGTTGTGGCCACACATTATTTGTTTAAAGAAGAGATGTCACCAGTGGGAGTTTATTACAGCATTCAACTTTAAAAAGTACAGTAATTCATAATAATGTGTTTGCCACAAGCTAATATGTTAACCCTGAGCTGGATAGATGGCCTGCCTTTATTTTGGGAATGTTTATTTAATTCTTATTAAGCTTCATGCAGTATTAAAACTGCCTTTATTTGCTCCAGACTGTTGAGTGTATTGTTCAAAGTCTGTATGACTGAATTGAGAGGCTCATATTGAACAATACAATGTTGTGTTGTTACACTAATTTGACAAGTTTGTACATTTTTATTGATGACATACAGTTTGCATGTCAAACAGTGTCGGAAACCACATAAGGAAGACTATCTGAGATGCTTAACAACTCCTCAAGGTTTGAGATGTGTGTGCGTGATGATTTAGGCATGTAGTTAGCACCATGCTAATTGGGATAAGTTTTGATTACTTGTTAACCTCTTATGCTCCAGGGTATATTTTGGTTTTTCCATCTGAATTTACATGCCCAAATCTTAAGGCAAATTATTCAGTAACTGCATGAAATAAATGCACATTTTTATTCTATTTATTTATTTATTTTTTGGTTAAAGGTCCCCTCATATTAACAGAACATGTGTTTTATGATCACACATATTGCTATATGCTTACAATTTACTGCTGAAAGCCAAAAATCTTAGACGCTCTTTGTATTATTTTATAAAAATAATTTTTACAGAGCAGATCACTGAAGAGACGCCATCTGTTTATAATTTATAGCCCAGATTTGTGGAAAAATGGGTCGACTTTCAGTAGAAAAAACAATTGTGAGTTCAGCTTCTTTTATTATA